ACAGAGAACATTTTGACAGTTTCCAAATGGAAGGGGGGGTTGGGGAATGGGCAAAAACATTGTGAAGGGATTAAGAAGTACACATTGGTTGTTACATAATAGTCACAGGGATGTAAAATACAGCATAGGAAATATAGTCAATAATAGCCTAATAACTATGTATTATCAGATGGGTATGAGATTCATTGGGATGATCACATATTAAGTTATGCAATGTCTAATCAGTGGGGTGTACACCTGAAAATAATATAATAATGTATGTCTACTGTAATTGAAAATAAAAAATGATAGAAAAAATAAAAAGAAAAGTAAGAAGAAAAAACATTTTTTCTATTACAACAAAAAACTGTTATAGTGCAAACTTGGAAGGAAAAAAGAACACACTAAAAATTCAAAACTAGGGATCAAAACAAAACTTTTAACTATTACTAAAATTAATAACTCAATGGACAGATTTAAAAGCACCTTAGACATGGCTAAAGATAAAAATTAATAACTGGAAGAAACTACTTTGACTGAAGCACAGAGACAAAAGGATGGTAATGCAAGATAGAGGGATAAGAGACATAAAGGACTCAGTAAAGAAGACAACATATTTCACTGCAGTCGTAAAAGGAAAAGAGATGGAATGGAGCAGGGGCAAAAACTAAGCAAAATCTAGTGGCTAAGATTTTCCAGAATTGATAAAAGGCATCAATCCACAGATTGACAATGTTCAAAGAATCCTAAACAGAATAAATAAGAAGAAATCCTGAGCCAGATATATCACAAAAACTAAAGACAGAGAAAATCTTAGAAGCAGTTGAAGGGGCCTGTGTGAGAGTTAACCTTCAAAGGAACAGCTGTTAAAATTAAACAAAAGCAAGGATGAAAACCAGAGACAGTAGAACAGTATCTTCAACATGAGGAAAGAAAATAACTGCCAAGCTAGAATTCCATAGCCAGTGAGAAAATCCTTTATGATTAAAAGGTTAAATAACAATTTTTCCAGATGAAAAAAAACAGACTGCTACTAGCAGATCCACGATGAAGGAAATACTAAACGGTATCTTTAAGCAACAGAAAAATTCTCAAGAGGCAAATTGAACAACAACAAAAAAGAACTTTATGTATAAATCAAAAATAGTATCTTGCAGAGCTTAAAACTTAAAATACACAAAGAATTAATACACAGGACAACAATAGCTTATAGGTCAGGAGTAGGGGAATGAAAATCAAGTGTTCTATGAGACATCCAAGATGGCAGTGGACTAGGTAGATGTCACCTCCTCCCAAGACCAAACTGGAATTACAATGAAAACAGAACAATTATTAAAAAGAAAAAAATATAGAGAGCAATCAAACTGAAAAACCAACTGAAGACTAGCTGAATAGAAGTCTTATGACCAAGAAGTTACAGAATAAGTCACATCAGACTGGTAGGAAGGATGGAAATGAGAAGAGTTGGCCCCACTCCCACAGGTGGTAACTGAGATTCCAGAGGGATATTTCAGCTGTAAAGGTTCCCCCTGAGGAGCATGGGGTCTCAACTCTATGCCAGGCTCCCCAGCTCAGAGCACCAAAGCCGAGAAGAGGCACCCACAAGAAAATCAGCAGGAATTCTATCTACGAGGGAGAGACATGAGTCTACTAGAGACACAGGCACCCTCCTAAAGGGCCAGCTCACAAAATCTCATTCACAGCCACTTACCCTCGGCTCTTGCAGAGAGAGGACAGAACAGGCTGAAGTGTAAGGAGAGACTGGGGTTTGTGGCTTTGGGGAGCGAGCTAAGGGGACAGCCTCCAGGACCCCTGTGCTGAGTCACTCTTCCACAGTGCAGATGCCACCTTTCTTGGGTGGAGCACTTCCCTCCACCTATAGGAAATGCAATAGCCCCACCCTCTGGACTCCCTGTTGCCCTGCCCTGTGGAACTCATGCCCTGCTGGGTCAGTTGCCTGCGCTGGTGAGGTGTAGAGGTCTGGGTAGATTCAGGTAGGTGTCAGTGACTTAGTGGTGTAGCTCTCGGACGGGGGCTATTCACTCCACTTTCCAGTGAATGTGACTGGTACTTGCCCCTCACAGAAGATCCTCTACAACACACTCTGGGCTCCAGGTGGTCCCACTCTCTTGACTCCTGGTGGACCTGCCCTGCCAAGGTGTGGGCAGAATCCGGGACAGACTGAGTTGTGTGGCTCTGGGGCAAGGGCCATTCCTCCCACCTTCCTCCAAGCCTTACTGGCATCTCCCACTCAGAGGAGATCCATCAGCACCACCCTCTCAACTCCGAAGGGCCCCACCCTGTTGATTTTGGGCTCCTGGCAAAATCATGGACAGACCGAGTTGTATGGCTCTAGGACAGAGGTCATTTTCCCCTCTCACTCCTGATCGCTGCAGAGCCCTCCAATCATGGAAAAAATTAAAAATTGAAAAATAAATTAAAAAATAAAAAATCTTGGTCTGTTTGAGTCTGATTAACTCTGTTGGACTTACTTTGATGACATCCTGTGACCTTTTCCCACCACAAAGGTCTGCAGGCACATGGCAGGTGACAGCTAGATTGGGTATGTCTTGGGTCATTTGCTGAGTGGTCTCAGACCTAGCACTGGCACAGAGTTTGAAACTGTATAAATCTGGTGAATACCACTCACCCCTACCTGGTGACTCATTGAGTACCTACTTGATGCAACTAGAGTACCAAGAGAGGCTCTTTCAGTCACTGAGCCTAACAGGCAGCCTACAGGCAGAGGTGGATCTCAAGGTGCCTTGCGACTTTTGCTGGCCTGCTTCTGGGCTTGGTGCTCATAAAAGTCAGCCCTGGTGTGCAGCTTGGTCCTTCCTGTGCACACACAGGCCCAGCAAAAGCATTCACAAATAAATGGTGGATTACTCTAATTCCAAACCAGGGCCAGTAACAAGCAGGGTCTGACACTGGTCTGCACCAGAGTCCCTCCCAAGAGGCCAGAGCTCACACACTCAGCGGCCAGCTTCACAACATCAGAGCAGAATCCAATTAACTTCATAAGCGGCATATCCAAAGGGAGACCTCAGCAGCCACCAGGCCTTGCTGAGGTGAACTTACAGCTCATGCACTGTGGTCAGGGTTGCTCCTCACAGTCAGTCGGTCTTAGTTGATGCCATGAACGAATGGCCAATAGCAATCAAGGCTCAATTATAACAGGAAAGCCCACATAATCTGCACAAGGCACATTCCTGGGCACCCAGCTCAAGTGATCAAGGAGACTACACCAGTGGACCCAGCAGGACACCTACTACGTAAGGCCACCTTACAAAAACTGGGAGTTATAGCAGATCTACATAAAAACAAACACAAAGAGGCAGCCTAAATGGGGAGACAAAAAACATGCCCAAATAAAAGGAGAACTCTCCAGAAAAAGAGAGAAATGAAATGGAGGCAAGCAACTTATCAGATACAGAGTTTAAAAAAAAAAAGCTTATAAGGATGCTCAAGGAACTTAGTGACAGCCGTAACAGCATGAAAAAGGACACAGAAACAAACAAAAAAAAGAACCAGTAAGAAATGAAGGCTCTAATATCTGAAATGAAGAATACACTAGAAGGAATAAACAGTAGATTAGATGAAGCAGAGGATCAAATCAGCGACTTGGAAGACAAGGTAGCAGAAAACACCTAATCAGAGCATCAAAAAGAAAAAAAATGAGGATAGTTTAAGGGATCTGTGGGACAAAATGAAGCATACCAACACCAGCATCATAGGGGTACCAGCAGGAGAAGAAAGCAAGCAAGGGATCGAGAACCTGTTTGAAGAAATAATGACAAAAAACTTCCCTAACCTGGTAAAGGAAAAAGACACACAAATCCAGGAAGTACAAAGCCCCAAATATGATGAACCCAAAGAGGCCCACACCAAGACACATCAAAATTAAAATGCCAAAGGATAAAGACAAATAGAACCTTTGAAAAAGAAAGAACCAAAGAAGAAGCAGCAAGAGAAAGACAGTAACCTACAAGGGAGTTCCCATAAGAATGTCAGCCGACTTCTCAACAGAAACATTTCAGGCAAATACCATATCATTTCACTTGCAGGGAATCTAATGAACAAAATAAATAAACAAACAAAATTGAAAGAGATTCACAGATACAGAAAACAGACTGACAGCTGTTACAGGGGAGAGGGGTTGGAGTGCTGGGTGAGAAGGGTGAGGGGATTAAAAACAAAAACAGAAAAACTCACAGACACAGATAACAATATGGTGATTATCAGAGGAAAAGGGGGAGGGGGAGGTAGAAGAGGGTAAAGAGGGAATAAATGATGATCTAAAGAGACTTTATTTTGGGTGGTGAACACAATACAATATACAGATGATGTATTATAGAATTGTACACCTGAAACTTGTATAATTTTATTCACCAATGCCACCCCAATAAATTCAATAAAAGTTTGGAGGGAAGGGTGGGAGGGAGATAAGGAAAAATTCAAGTGTTCTAAGAAACTTGTATTATCCCTAAAGTGGCCCAAAATATCCAATTACATAATACTCTGACATAAGTAAAGAATGTATATTATAATTTCTAGGAGTGCCACTAATAGTAAAATTATATATAACTTCCAAACTAACAAGAAAAAAAAATATGAAAAAAAAAACCCAAAAACACTTTCAAACACTCCAAAGGGAAACATGAGGGAAAAGCAAACACAGAACAAGTGAAAGAGGAAGCATACAGTAAACATGATAAATTTAAACCTGAATATATCAGTCATTACATTTACTGTAAATGAACTAAATGCCTCCATTTAAAGTCAAAAGATCATTAGAATGGATGAAAAAGCAAAGCCAAGTCATTTCACTTACAGTGTATGATTCTAAGACTTAAGTCACAGTATGACATAGGCACAAGATGAAAAATCCAAGGCTTAAAACAACATCTTGAAGATGTGATATGAAGAATAAAAGTGAGAGTGCTTGCTCCTAGGCTCTTTCAGATATGCAGGGTAGCAGAGTTAAGCAAAAAAAGAGCTGTCAGTAGAAATAACATTACCTGCAGCGGCCAGATGGGCCGTGACCTCATCAGCTGCTGTGGAGTTGAGTATGTCTGAATCATCATAAGAGGTGTCTTCTTGAGAAGAAGGTGACTCTTCATCAGCACTCAGCATACTGTGTTCAGTGTAGGTGGCCACATGGACCTGCTGTACTTGTTGGGCCACTGCGTGGGCTTCTATCGTAGCCATGTGTTCAGTTTGGGTCACTCCGTGTTCCTCCATGAAGATCTACTGTCAGAAACAAGGCAAAGAACAGGATTCAGTGTGTAATGTAACATAATGCTTAAACTAAAAGATATTTTCCTCAAGAACAGGGAAACCTTTGATTTCACTGCATACCTCACCATACCAAGTCACAGGAAATGGGAAGCACCATTTAAATATGACCCAAAAATGGTAGAAGAGTTTCCTTATATAAACCTTTTTGATGGAAATTCACTGCTAATTTTACACTTTAGGTCACAAAACAATACCCCTGATATTACATATAACAACAAAAGATATTTAAATATAAAAATAAAAACATATTTAAAAGATCAGGCACTTGACATTATAGACATACAAAACATAAAAACACTTGATAAGTAAATGAAATACTTAACAATGGGAGTGGAACTATTTTCTCCAAAAGCTACAATCACTCAGATTGGTTTTTCTGCTTATAAAACTGTGTTTCTTGTAAATATTAAAATGATGCCATAAATTATAAAGTAGTAAGATAAAGGCTTGCTCTTCTACTACACTTCTGCTAATCTGTTCCCTCTTTCAACAACTATAGAAAAGTGCATTATCTTTAAAAAAACTTGTTTGAAGCATACATACATATATATGATTTAAAATACAAACAGGTTTATATTACACATATTATTCTATAGTTTGCTTTTATTACAATGTATTTGGACATCTGACATGTCAAAACACACAGATCTACCAGATCTTTCTAAATAGCTGCAGAATATTTTATTGTATGGATGTGACATAATTATGCAAACAATCACCTACTGATACACAGCAAGGACACTGTTTCCAAATTTTTGCTATTATAAACATCAGTGCAGTGAACAAAACTTTGCATATTGATTCCTCAAAAAAGTTAAAAGAATCACCATCTGACACAGCAATTTCACTTCTGGGTCTGACACCCAAAAGAATTGAAAGCAGAGTCTTAAAGGGCTATTTATACATGCCCATGTTCACAGCCACAACAGCCAAAAGGTGGAAGCAACCCAACTATCTACAGATGGATGAATGGGTATATAAAATGCAAATATATACATAAGCTAGACATCATTAAAATTAGAAACTTCTGCTCCATGAAAGAAACTGCATGCATATCTAGAGGTAACCCCCACAAAAAAAGAGCCACATAGATACAGAAATATGAACGTTGTGGCTACAAGTAAAAACATAACTATCTATTCTTGAAAAATTCTTTTCTCATTTTTTATTCTACTCTTATTAAGTTTTCCTTCTTTGAGGACTTCTAAGATTCTTTGCTCCTCTGAGTAATTACTTTCTTATGCCTTGTCCTGTTATGTCTTTCTACTTTAGGTCAATTATTTCCATTAGCTGCCCAACTCTTTACTTTTCTGAGGTCCTTGATTTCTTCTCTATATTCTTGCGCTGTTTCCATTTTTTTTTTTTTTTTTTTTTTTGGAGGGGGAAGGCTCTAACTTTTTTTTAAATTTTTTTATTTTGGCTGTCTTTTTTAAAAAAGATTTTATTTATTTATTTTTAGACAGCGGGGAAGGGAGGGAGAGAGGAGAGAAACATCAATGTGTGGTTGCCTCTAGTGCGCCCCCTACTGGGGGCCTGGCCCGCAATCCAGGTATGTATCCTGACTGGGAATCGAACTGTTGACCCTTTGGTTGGTGAGCCAGTGCTCAATCCACTGCGGAGGCTCTTACTTTTAATTATCTCTTTTCATTCTCACACCACATATCAAAACATCTTTCTAACTCGTGATTCTAGTTCAAAATAAAATTTAATTTAATTTACAAAAAGCATGCCATAAATCCAAAAAGATTAGGAATATAATAATCAGCTGCCATGTGAAACCCTTTTCCATACTTTCTTTTCTGCCTGAGGTCGTCTCCCAGCCTTGTAGTTCTATATGGCATAATACCTTCACAGACAAACTCCTGCCCTTGTTTCTTCAAATGAAGCTTTGAAGAGGTGACTTGTACAATAAAAAGTATTTAATAGAGAGAGAAAAGAATAAAGAAAACATGGTTAAATATTAACATTTGGGAAACCTGGGTAATGACAGTTCTTTAAACTACTTTCGCAACTTTCCTAAAACTCTGAAATTATGTCAAAATTTTAAAAAAATTTTTAGGAGAGGTTTCTTAAATATCCTATATTTGGTAGGTTTCAGAATATTCAAGGGACTATATCCTACTCTCAGATATGTACATATCTAAAATGCAATTTAACACTACTTAAGTCACACCATTAAACATAATATGAAAGATAGCATTAAAATACTATTTTTTCATCCATTTCACTGTTATTCTAGGCTAAAAGACAAACTGCTTAGGGCATTTTAGAATTCTGGGCACTTCAAAATTGTTTTTAAATGATTTGGGATTAGATGGTATCTACATTTCAAAGGGATTTGTACGCTATGCACTTGGCATAATGGACTTCAATTCTTTTCTCCAGAATGCAATTCACTGCATAAATCAATAGAGCTGTCTGCTTCACAGGCTTGTCACTTCTGCCCAGTGCCTCATCTTTCTACCCCTCTCCCCATCCCATCCTTCAGCCTCTCTAACTATTTTTATTAAGCACACTCTGTAAAAAAGCAAAAGCAAAAGCAAAGGTACCTCAGCCTTCTTCGAACCAGAGTGGGATATTTGTCAATGATGCTTTCAATGTTTTTTAAAAATAATAAATAAAATAGGTTGCCTAAAGCCAGATATGACTAACATACACACACTACTGGCAAGCATTATGCCCCACCCTCCCCAAGCCATTTTAAGTGATGCTTTGCTTTTTAGCTTTCACCCACGAGGAGTCAGATTCTCTGGACAGCTAAACTGATAGGAACTGCTAATGGATGAAAACATGTTAGATAATATTTTAAAAAAACAGGACATATTAGGATGATCATTTAGTAGGCCATATAATGTCTAATCACTGGAGTGTACACCTGAAACTAATATAATATTGTACATTAACTGTAACTGGAAAATAAAAAAATATCTTAGTTAATAAATAAATAAATAGAACAGACTATTACCAGATATCCAGAACCCCGAGACAAGTTATATACCCTCTAAGTATCTCAATTTCAACATTTTTTTAAAAATAAAAAAGACAGTTCCTTTACTCAAGAGAGCATAAAGATTAAATGAGATCATCCAGATAAAGACACAGTGCCTGGCACATAAATGCTTGATATTATTATAATAATGTCAGAATCATTGTGTGTTTATGATTCTATCCTTCTTGACTCATTTCCTGACTAATCTCGCAAGGGCTGGGTCTTAATTTCTTCATGTTTAACTTAGACACCCATCTCCAGTTTTGTTCTGTTTTTAATCAAGGGCAAAAGATTTTGAGTCAGGCATCTAAAAGGCCCTTTTATTTATTTTATCTACCTATCTATCTATCTTTAGAGAGAGGGGAAGGGAGGGAGAAAGAGAGGGCAAGAAACATGTATGAGAGAAACATTGATCTGTTGCCTCTTACACACCCCCAACCAGGGACTGGCCTGCAACCTAGGCATGTGTCTTAACTGGGAATCAAATTGGCAACCTTTTTGTTCATAGGCTGGCACTCAATCCACTGAGCCACACCAGCCAGGGTATAAAAGGCCCATCCTTTTTTTGTTTCTTTTTTTAAGATTTTATCATTTATTTATTTTTTTAGAGAAAGGAGAAGGGAGGGAGAAAAAGAGGGAGAGAGAAACATCAATGTGTGGTTGCCTCTCATGCACCCCCAACTACAGACCTGGCCCGCAACCCAGGGATGTATCCTGACGGAATCAAACGGGCAACCCTTGGGTTCGCAGGCCAGCACTCAATCCACTGAGCCACACCAGCCAGGGCTAATCCTTTTTTTAATTTTTAAAAAGAAGTATTGAGGTAACATTGGTTTATAACATTATATAAGTTTCAGTTGTACAACTTTATCTGTATATTCAATTGTGTGTTCCCCGCCCAAAATCTGGTTTCCTCCCATTACCATGGATTTGACCCCCTTCCGCTCTGGTAACCACCATACTATTGTCTGTGTCTATGAGTTTTTTATTTGTTCGTTTCTTGCTTTTGTTTTATATCCCAAAGATGAGTGAAATCATATGGTTCTTGTCTTTTTCCATCACTTATTTCACTTAGCATGACCTCAGGATCCATCAATGTTGCCCTGACTGGTGCAGCTCAGTTGTTTGGGCATCGTCCTGCAAATCGAAATGTCACCAGATCAATTTCCGGTCAAGGCACATGCCTGGGTTATGGGTTTGGTCCCCTAATGGGGCGAAAGAGAGGCAACCAATCAATGTTTCTCTCTCCTATCAATGTTTCTCTTCCTCTCTCCCTACCTTCCCCTCTCTCTAAAATAAAAAAAAAAAATTTTAAATCCATCAATGTTGTCGCAAATGGCAATATTTCATCTTTTTATGTCTGAGTAGTATTTCATTGGATATATTATATACCACATCTTTACCCATCATCAGTTAAAGGACACTTACATTGTTTCAATGTCTTGGTAAAAACCCTTTCTTTATTATATTAACTCCAATAACTGAGATGCTGTTCGCCTAGACATAAACCAGGAAACTACAGATAACCAACGTCTCTAGCATCATTTCATCACGGTGCACGAAATGGAGAGCACAGATCTGACAGTGATTCCTCTGAACAGATGTGAAAAGCAAGATGAAAGCACTAGCAACATATAATGATCTGTAACTCTAAACACCACACGAGATTAAAAAGGCATATCTGTCTATCACCTGGAGTCAGAAATGTTCAGATCAGTCAACACTCTATAAAAAAACAAAAAACAAAGAACACAATAACGTAGCGTGTGTTTTATCTAAAGTTTCTTCTTTAGTATATAAAGAGGGGTGCACTGTGGTGCAGGAGTCTCCGCTTTTGCAATTCCAGGCCAGTAAGGGTGGGACTGAAAGTAAACAGAAGAGAGCCCAGTAAAATCCAAGTTTTTTGTCTCAGTACCCTGGTAGATGTAGTCTGTAACACCTGGGGAGCTACTGGAATTTGGAT